CAGCGATTTTCATGGATGCTTCACTGCTGTTAGGGTGATAGTATGTTGTACGAGTTGTTTATTATTATTAATTAATCGGTTATACTATAAGAATATTTCAATTTAATAGTAGTTCCTGAAATTAATACGTTTAACCAAACAAAGAAACATACTCTACAGCTTTAGGGATCTCACTATTGCATCGAAATAATTCATTACTATCTTTTGTTGGGTCCATTACCCTATGTATAATTTATGTTACGATAGTTAGTTCCGTTGTCTTAGCGGTTTGTTATTGGGTTTTATTTTGGGTATCACTTCTCTTGTATCATATATATTTTGTTTTTGTAGTTTATTAATTTAGCCAATTGCTAGCAATGTACTGTGTAAATTTGGTTTCCATTGCGGTCTTTTTCTGAAACCATTATGGTATTTTTTTGTGAATGTGCTACAATAACCTCACTGATCTGACCTTATGCTCATCTTGCCATATTCCACTATGACGGCCTCGGTGGTTTAGCAGTTTAATACACCGCTTTTTCTCGCGATGGTCGCGGAGTCGATTACTCACACGACACAAACATTTGTATTCATGAGTATGATTGTTTATATTGGTCAGCCTGTTTCCTATGTATATATATAAAACACGTAACTAAGTAATATAAGTTGTCAGGGACCCGTAACACAAGCTGCTTAATTTGAATCTAAATGGTGCTGTAGGAATTATCCTTGGTTATCATTTATCATAATACTATTACGTATTTGATTGATAATCATCATCATCATCCCGGAAGACGCGTATAGGCCTCCCCAAAGATCTCCACGACGAGCATCCAATGCCTTATTTGAATGAACCAAAACTTATGCATTCATATGTGCCCTGCCCATTGCCACTTCAAAAAAACTCTGGTTCTTCTTTACGAGCCCTCTCCATTTGTGACTCTGAGCTTGTTGATGGGGCCCATATAGCGACCACGTCTCTGTTCCGAAAGTCATCACTGGCAACACACATTGGTCGTACCCCGTCGTCTTGAGACACTGCGGAAATTTGGACGAAAAGATATATCGGAGAACGCTGCCCATCCGAGTTGGATTCGACATTTGTATAATAATATAGTAAATAATGAAGGAAAGGCGATATAGGAGTGAACTTGATAGTTACTTTGATAGGTAATCTTTATTTTTATCAGCCATCTCATCAGATCATACAATTTTTTATTTATATCATATTCCACATAGTAGTTTTTCGCTCATTCTCTCCCATTATATTCATCCAAGTTTATATTAGAAACTACCTTTAAAATAATAATAATAAAAAAATAGGTTCTCCGATATTTGTATTGTAATATATTTTTGTATAAATCAGATTTATCACGGTACAAAAAGGTATAACCCAAAGGTCTATTATGTTCCTTGGTACAAAAAGTGGCATTTTGTTTTGCGCAATTAACCGGGCAGAGTTATAACATGATATTAATAAGACAAAAGATTCCTTAAACAATTTTAAACACGGCCGTTGAACATAACTAAATATCTTTAACAAAGCGCGTTCCTTTGCGAAGTCAAAATGGAAGTCATCTTTTCAAAATTGTTTACATTACATACTAACTGTCTTATACTGGCTTTACACAAGCAAATAATATAAAATCAGCAATATTATATTTAAAACTCCAAATAATAACGGTCACAATTGACAATGCCTCTGACTACTATTATTTACAGCCATATAATCATTAATTTTCACGGATGACACATGTACTCCTCCCTGTTACTCCATAATAGAATGAAAGCAAAACGATGATCCTGCTGAAGCATTATAATTTTCATTCTATGATACCTTAATCATGCTTTACTAGGACTAAGATATCATGTCTCTTATGTTACGTTATAATGCTACGTTTACATTCAGCTGCTTCCCCTGCTACTCGCGCTGCCGTAAATATTGCAGGGCGACAACTGAGCGAGAGGGCTGAATGTAAAAATACGCTTCCACCCGCGCTGCCAGTCTTTTGACTCGCGCACAAAAACCGACAATTGAGGGAGCGCCGGACAGCGCGAGGGGCAGTACCAATAGCATGTGAAGTATCGTGTTTACACTCTCGCGCTGCTCACTTCCGTGCTCACTTCTCTGCCCACTTGGGCTGAGTGTAAATTGGGCATTAACCAGTAATTGCATTTTCTAATCTGACAATACAACTGAAACACAGCTTATAAAGTAAGCTGCTTGATAGCTAAAATAATTGGGACAAACATACTTACACGGCCGACTTTTTACGTCCTACCTATGGATGAATTATATTTACTCTGTATTATAAATGTATGTCTAACCATCAGATGGCAATTGTGAGTAGCTATGACGTGGTCTGGTGTTTTGAATAGTCATGCTCACTAAAATGTCCAGATTTGTGGCGGCGTAGTGGGCCGGGTCATTGGGTTCCCTAAAATATGGTCGAGCGAAGTGGTGGCTGGCTCATCCGTCATACTCGTGAACGGGTGCTGCTTGTGTGTACTGGTCTGTGTACTGCTCTAATCACTATGACTTATTTTCTCTTATTAATTGTTTAACCAGTTGTTGTGTATTGAATGTTTTTTCTATTTTATTATTTCATTGAATAAGTGCTAATCGGTAGTTTGTATTCACACACTTAAACTTAAATTGTAAGTAAGAATAAATTATTTAAAAGAGCAACATACAAGTTTCTTGCTTGTTCTTCTTATGATGAGACAGCATTCCGAATAAGAGGTAGATTAAAAAAAAAATGTTATGACTATTCAAAAGTGCTTCAATGTAAGTTTATTTGAATAAATGATTTTCTATTCTATTCTATGTAATTTTAATATACTGTTAAATATTTTTCGCCCTGTAGGTATCAACTGCGTAGTAATAATATAAAACAAGCAATTAGAGCGCGGAACCTGTCACTAACTCTACACTTTATGTTTTAAGACATTTTCTCCTGTTTGTTATAAAATTCAATAAATATACGTAGCGTAGCTTACCTCGGCGGCGTTATTAATTTTAATATTCTATTCACTAAGCCTAATAAAATGAGAAACAGTAGGTAGAGTTTATTAGTAGAACAAACATCTACAATATAAATACATTAATTACAAGTAAGTAACTTTAGTTAGAATATATATCATCACGTCTAACTTAAATTAGAGTAGCCAGAAACATTGGAGCTCCGAATATAGCGATTCATACATAACTTTATATACATTCATCAATTATTATTATATAACTACAATTGATACAAGTTCACCGGTGACGGATACTTTTTATTTAACTCATTTCCATTCATTTTCACACAATAGATATCTTTCGTTAAAATGTTAAATGTTCAAATATATCCAGAATAATACTTATAAAATTAAAAATTAAATAACAAGAAAACATTGTTGTGCATAACGCACTTTTTTATATGATAATTATATTTTTTTAGACTGTAGTTTCTCTTGTAACTAAAAATATAATATAAAATATATACAGTCCTTAGAAACATTAGTCATTAAAATTGTGTTAAATGAAATTTGTATTTCTTATATTATTTATATAGTTATATTTCTTTATCCATATATGTAGCAGTACTATTTGTATTAACAGCATAAAAAAGCTGTTAATACAAATAGTACTATTGTCTAGACGTAATTTACTTCAACATTATTATAGTCTAAACAAGTGGAAACACTAGCAAAATATCGGAAATTTAATAAAAATAAAATCTGGTATGATCCCGTTATTTTTACTAATTATACGTATTAAAGTATGTATCTATATGTATTTAAATAAACTAGACTGTTTTTCGTACTCACTTTATTTATGAATAAAGTCACGGCACGTAGTAATGCTATTACAGCAATTGTTACTAAAAACAAGTGAAAGTTGCAGTGAAATTGAGGGGTTCCCTGATCACTTTATTTCGCTCCTCCATTTAATACGTTCAAACTCTTACTTTTCTTATTACTTAAACATCCTTAAAAGCAAAATGTTTTTCTGATACAATCCTAAATAAGAAAGTTTTAATCTAAGAGTAAATAACTTTATAATCCTTTTACTTAAATAATTGAAGGCTCTAAAAGTTTATTCAGTATTTGCAAAATTTAATGTAATATATAGTGATATATAAAAATATAAAGAAGTATATTTAGGGTAAATACGACTTTCTTTCATATAACTAATGAAATAGTAGAATAATAACCTAGTTCATTCAATTCCATTCATATAAATCCAATCTAACTAAGCTGGCTATGTTTGTCCCCAGGAGTTGTAACCTATATATGTAAGTATCAAGTGATACAGAATAAATTGCAATGTTCGTGTACTAAAAATATCGTAACGTCATCATTAAAGTGGAACGGGATTGTTAATACGAAATATTACCATAATTACTTGCAATGAATTATGTTATTCCACGGTGTCATCTTCAAGGCCATCGTAGGTATTTCCTAATCAATTTGCCAGCATGGGCTACTTGAGCTGTTTCTCTTTTTCTCCTAGATTTTATTTTATAATTTTAATCGTGGAAATAATAGAGGTTTAGTATTTAACATGTGTCTCAGTGAAGTTAGTTTAGGGCATTGATAGATTCGTAAATCATAACAATAATACAAAATGGAATTTATAGATCTTATTGCAGATATATTGCAATATTTTTGCATTAGAATAAGAATACATTTTTTTAAATCTGTTTATAATTTTCAAACATATTGTTTCATTCAATCTTAAAACATTGATTGAAAAGTTAACCAATATTGAAACCATATAGATGTTCAAAATACTTGTATAGATAGGCTATTACCAAGTTTAGCGTTACAACCCTCTCGAGTAAAATTTCAACCCCACTTATTAAAGACATGTCAGAAGTTCAGAATGTATGCTACAAAAACAAACACATTTTCACTGGCTCAACCACGGGCACAGCGGGGTTCTTTTCAAAAGAACAAGTAAATGAATAATTTAGTTTGGACGGGGAGGGGATTGGATGAACTTCAATCAGTCGCTACGAATCCGTGAGCAGTGAACACGTGCTACGCTTGTCCGCGGCTACGCGCTACGAATGGTTACGTCGTTTTACTACTATGGATAAATTTCTCAATAGTGGTTAATGAATTAGTGTTGTGATTGAAGTTATAAAAAGAGATTGTATGAAAGTTCAAGAAAATATGATTAGTCAAAGAGTTGGGATTACGATATCATTATTAATTTTAATGTTTCGAGGTATGTGTTCTATTAATTTTAATTATAATGTATTTATAATAATAACATATATTCAAATTAATAGACTTGATTAAAAAATATGTCGTTATTCATATTAATTTTGAAATATCTCCGGTGTTGGAACATCTATTTGGGAAGCTTTTTGTTTTAATAATTTACATTTGCAAGTTAGCGATTTCCATCACTGGAAGTAATTGAAATTGAATAGAGTTTAGTTATACTTTTTACACGTGTTTTAAAATATTGTCACAGCTATGAAATATTAAACTTATATAAGTATATTATCCGTAACAAAAACTTTACTTACTGTTAAAGTTAAACAATAACGACTACGACGAATAAATATAATCGATTAATTTAAATTAATTATATATATTTTTTTAATTTAGTTGATTATAAATAATAATAGTAACAAATTTTGTTTTTAATTTCTACATTTCTTTGTTGAATATGTTTATAGTTGTATTTTTTTAAGTACATATAGTATATATTGACACTATATGCTATACGTACTTACTACGAATATTATGTAAGTATCTATGATACATGCTATATGATGTGAGTACATCTTATAATGCAAAAAGATCTCTATGATGATGAGAATAGTAAATATTATGTAATAATAATAACAGCATATCTCACAGTGCCATCTAGCCCCAAATAGAGCTTGTTCTATGTATTTTTATTGCAGCAGAACCCCATTTATGCGAGGCAATGTGAACGTTACAGTTCATTGCCTCACAGGATTTTATTGTCAGACCAATTTATTTAGTCTCTACTATAAATCAGTATTTTATATTGAAGCTATGATAGATGAAAACCATCATATCTCATGCCTATCGACATATTCATTTGTAATTTTCTGTAATCTTTATTAGATTATTATTAAAAGTTTAATTGTATTCTGCGGCACTACCCTTCTGGAACATAGTCTATGTGTCACTAATAATATACTTTTCTATAACTAAAAGAGTTTTTAATATCGATCAAGTATTCTATAAGATTTCTATTACAAACAAAGAAACATACACTTAAATATTTAACTTGTTTGTTTGTAATCTGACCTGGACTTGAAGATATTTCATACTGAGGTTATCAAATACATTATCTGAATATTTTGTAAGATTACAATAATAAATAACATTTGAACCATAATAGCTTATAGTCACGTTATTTAATTACCCATATTTTATTGCTAATTGCGTGTTATAAACGAATCATTATGATTGTTACCTTTTTGAAACAAGCTGTTTAAACACTAATCAAATGCTTATTAACGTCATAAAGGTATATAAAAGAGCCATAAAATATCTATTTTTTTATTAATTAAAAAATATCGAGACATCTAAAGTTAATAATTAATTATATAATACAAAAACGGTGTTTTAGATCAGTTCAGTTTTTTTCACTTACTTCTTTTAAATCATGCACTGTCGATTCTCATACGATTTTTAGTAACATTTAGAGAAATCCTTGATGGAAGATTTATATGTATAATATAGAGGTGAAACCATATGGATTTCATCTCTATTATATATGTTTTTATACGTGCTCATACTTAATTATATAAATTACAATATACATTATTGTAATTAATCATTTAGTAAATTGGAATTGGATTTATAATAATAGTCTCTAAACTAGGTCAGAACTGCATCTTCGGACTAAGAGCGCGGATGCTAAAGAAGTATTACGTGTAAACATTAAACACTTCAAATGGTACACAGGAACAAATTCTTATAATGCTTAAATCGAGAAGAGTTAGGGTGTATACAGATGTCCACTCGTGTGATGCTTTCTTATTTGCATTTATTATTCATCCTTATTATGGATTAAATTTTTTAATGTCATTTGTTTGGGTTCTATATATATCGTCATAGTCGTAGAATACTGATGGATCTGACAAATTTTGACAGTTTCTACGACATATACAAGTTTATCATGCACACTGGATTCCTATGAGAGGGCTGACTCACATTACTCCCTTACATACATATACCAGTAGTGAAAAATGCGACACGATGAGTGACGGAAAATAGAAGAATTAAAAAAGTGATTTAAAGTGTATCTTTTATTTTATTGTTCACTACAAAATATGTTCATACTCGTATACGAAATTTGAAATAGAGGACCTATTTAAATTTACAGGTACCCGGTGAAAACGGGATGAATATTTCACGTGGACTGTATACGTTTTTGAATAGTAACTGCGGCATGACCCGTTTATTGCCAGCTGCATAGGTTCGGTCACTTTCGTCATATATGTGTATGCTTTTAAAATATTTCTCAGTGTGGGCCCACAGAAATGTATCGTTGGTTTTTAATATTAATGCATTAATCACACACGTCTACTGCGTTTTCAAATAATAAAAATTTATCGACATTGATTACATTTATTTTACTATACTTTTTAATTGACTGTATGATAATTATAATATTAGAAAAGTGAAGAAAATATTTTTAGTTCTTTTTTACTAAAATTAGAGAAATTGGGCATAGTTAAAGTTTAGTATCGAGTAGAATTGCAGGAAAGTATTATTTTAGTGCCTAATGCCTGAAATACACTGCACTGCACTCTTGTTCTCAAATATTTACAGTCTTTGATAATAGAACCTTAATAATATTCAAACTAAAAATTTAAATGATATATAGCTTCAACAACTTCGAGACTTTGAGTATCAATTTTTACTGTAATAATATTATGTGACCATGAATTTATGCAACTTTGTGCAAGGAACGTATGGTTTTGATATAAGAAGCACATATGAAAATTTTATACTTAGACTCACCTTCGTCGTAGATAGATGCTTAAAAGGTTTCGGCAGTGAACTCAACTAGAAAGAAGAAAGTTCTCTCTGAAAGGTTTGTCTTTTTGAAAGGCGATAGGTTTTAAAATTTAATTTTCATTCAAATTCACATATATACAATGTTCCTAACTTGATTACTTTGCACAACTTATAAAACTATAATAATATATAACTAAGTGTGTACAACATGCATGTTCTACTTATATGTTGGTACTATTTATTACAATATATTTACCTTCCTACGTAATAAATACATAATGAAATTAAGCAATTGTGAGGCAAACACTATTTTATTTGTGCCTGTTTGTGTGTTAAATGTTTTAAGTTTCTAATACACGTAAATGTTTAATGTTTTCTCACGAAACAATGACAAGACATGGAATTTTTCAAGATAAGATATAATACAATAAATTCTTAAGGGTGGGCAACGAACACGTGACACCCCTGGTGTCTCAGGTCTCCATAGGCTATGGTAACCATTTAGCATTAGATGGGCCGTATTCTTGTTTGGCACTATCGTAGTATAAAAAGAAGTAAAAACGTCTGTCGAGTTAGGATAGCATTCCACAAAATGGAAGAGATGATGAATCTTCATCAACTCTTCATGATGATGATGATAAATTAAATTCAAGAGAGTAAATTATTTATTTCATTAAACCTAAATGAACAAAAATGGTAAGGCCATTTTTGGCTTCACTAAGATCAAGTATACAACTACCACGTGTATATAGCAATACATACCATTCCTTTATTTCAATCAAAGGATTTGTACGAAGATTATGTTTGTAATGTTACGCAACATCAATTCTCAATAGAAAGGGTTTGCTCCCGTGTTACTCAGGCGATCAACCGGTATCAATCAGGACACGATTTGGGACAAATAATTTCAAGATTGTTCTTTTTTTGTTGAATATAACCTTCATTTATATTAAGTACCTTTGTTGGACTCAATTTTGTTTATATTAAACCTTTGTTATCTACCTATAGAATTGGCGTATTAAGAACAATTCAATAGGTAGCTGTATCTAATCCTACACATTGGTGTAGAACTAGGTAAGTAAACAAACATTAGATATTTAGCTAGATTCTGAATATTCAATGTCTGTTTACTTATTGTTTGCTTATTCGTCGATAAGCGGCATTGATAACATTCTGAATTTTTCTTAATGTTCTCAAATTTTTTTAAGGCTATTTTTTCAGCCGTTTCTTTCCAAGTTAATTGTATTCGTCTAAACTCTATGATCTCTGTGGTCTGTAAGTTGTAGATCTATTAAAAAATGGGATCTATTCAAATTTCACATATATTTAATAATATTTAATAATCACGAACTAAGTCTAACGAAAATAATACATAAATAAAGTTTATATGAACAAAAATGGCAACGGTATCGAAATTTAATCACTATTGAATTATTTATTTGTGAATACGAGGGACATGATAGGCCTATCGGAGTTATACAACGTATCTCGTTCTATATTTCATTTGATGGTTGAGATAAGGCAGTTAAATTTCTGAATCTTGACATCTAAGTCCGCAATAGTAACGCTTTGGTGGTGCTAGTTCTTCGTTTATATAAGTAAAGGTTGGCATGTACTATCAGATTGTTTGACATTCCATAATATAATAAATAAAGATATTTACGTTTTTACTCTCTAGTCAAAACTGTAGTTAGGAGCTAATTATTTTCGATCAGTCTGAAGGATATATATATATATATATATATATATATATATATATATATTGTTAGACAATCTACCGATTTATTCCTACATATTACTATTAATATTTCTCTCAACACTCACCTCCCTTAGATATGTTTACGTCTTTATATAACTGTAGTGTAATACCCGTCCATGTTACGACTTCGCGTTGAATATCCGCGATAATGATAAACTCATGTGACAAAAATTTATATTAAATAATTGCACAGTTTAAAAATGTCACTTGTAAACTTATTATCACGACTATAGGAACAAGTTAGTTACGTAGCGAAACTACTTCACATGATACATGATGTTACAGTGATGAGGTGATACCCATTATTGTTAAAAAGATATATACATAGTATAAATTCCAGTTATTATATTATTAGTCACTAGAATATTGTAAACTTTAAATTTCCCAAGTCAGCTTACTCTAGTTTTTCTGCCACGTATTATTGTAGAATACACAATACCCGTATTTACGAGATA